TATACATATAAATGTAGAGAAACATTTCTATAGATGATAGACAAGAGGAAAGAACACTCAATCACTTAAATGGGCTCAAATCCTGGTTTTCATCCCATTTGTCTCCTGTCCTAACCACAGGGAACTGCGACTCATGGCTATTCCTGCAGTCCCTGTACTAAGACAGGTGATACCGTTTTTCCTTCTGTGTCCAATTCTCCTTGTAGTTTTCACTTTAGTATCAGAGGTGTCATTTTCTTAAATGTTTACTTGCTAATGAGGATGGATCTCATGTTTAAACCTCATTTTCAAAGTAAAAATCTGAGACTTGGATATATGATTTGTCTAAAGTGATATGGTTAATATATTTGGCAGAGTTTGGTTGTAAAGGACTGTTTCTGATACCAAACACATTATTTTCTTATCTCAAATATGTCTTCTGTTAATCCCTGTGGCTTTTGACACCCAGATGGTTTGTTTATTTGTTTGTTTGTGAGACAGGGTCTCACTATGCAGCCCTGGCTGACCTAGAACTCACATTGTAGGCTGGATTCAAACTCACAGATACCCGCCTGCCTCTGCCTTCCTAGTGCTGTGATTAAAGTCATGTGTCAGCACACGCAAGCCCAAAATAGGTTTTGATGTAGCGAATATGCTACATCAAAATTTTTTGTGCTGTTATCAATTCCCAGCACTGTCTGGTGTTAGACACCAGGATTCCCTTTCCATTATGTGGGTCAATGGACAAGCCACAGAGTCAAGCACAGACTGCAGATTTCTCCAAGTAAATATTAATACTTCAGTAATAACGCTATGGAATTACTCATCTAAACCCAGGCAGTGAGATGTCACTATGTCATTGCCCTGGCCTGGACATCACTCTGTCCCCCAGGCTGTCCCTGGGCCTGTGGCAATCCTCCTCCCTCTGCCACCCCACTGCCCCATTACAGGCATGACTGGTCTCACCTTCTTTTCTTCCTCTAGTGAGACACAATCACTTTGTATTTTGTTCAGGACAGCATGGGGTCAGGAAACTTTTCCAGGAATTCATCGACCCAACCTGATATAGTCCCCTGTTTCTAGCAAATTTGCAGGCGTGTACAAGACTTTACTAGCCAGATATACTCCTGTTTCTGAAAGTAATCTGGTTGCTATCTGATTGCTCATTTCTAATCAAGAGGGAAGCCAGACAGGCCATTTCGTTTTGGTCTTATTTATACATGCACCAAACTCCTATTTTGACTAATTTGTCAGAATTCATCTCGTTGTGCCTTTCACCACACGGAAAGTAAAGAATTTTGGCAAATATTTCTTAATGTTTGTTTCTCATTCTTCCTGTCTTTCTAATGGAATGAAGATAGGGAAGGAAAGACTGATGACACCTGTCAAGTGTCAGGTCCACAGTGCAGTAACCAAGGGAAGCACAAAGTACTGCCCTGGATTTGGGGTTTAGAGCACTGGTCTTAAAGTCAAGGCATGTCGTACAGTATTTCATGTGAGCTGTGTATACTTTGTCACTGATGTGATTCTTTTTATCAAAGCTGGTTAGAATCAAGATTATGAGGTGGATTGAAAACTGACCCATGTCCATGAACACTTACTTGTTTCCCCAAAATTCTTCGATGTACCCTACTTCCAATATCTTCCTATTTAACACTATCCTACCTGACCTCCCTCCCTCCCTTCCTCTCTCCCTCCCTTATTTTTCTTCTTTTTTCAGGAGACAGAGCCTCACTATGTAGCTCAGGCTAGTTTAGAACTCACTGTGTATCCCAGGATGGCCTGGAACACATAGCAATCCTCCTGCCTCAGCTCCCTGAATCCTGGGATTACAGGCTCATGCTACCACCACAAGCTCCTACCTGGTATCTTTGTACACTTGTTCTATTGCAGCAGAGCTAACTTAGGAAGGACTTAACTCTAAGGACTTTGAGAAGGTCTGTTTGCGGTAGTATGTACAGAGAGAGGTAAAAGGTAACCTTGAAAGCAAGGAGCAGAATCTCAAAGTGCTTTAGAGCTTTTAGGAGGATGTTCCTATAGAGATACTTTCAGAGAATGTGTCAATTGGGATGTTTCAAACTGAAAGAAAAAGAGGCTAGGACCACTCTTTCCTATACCAGCATTTACGCTTTCTAACATGTGAATCTTTCTCCTCCTCCTATTCCTGAATGGAATGAATTTAACTAATTTAACTATCAACGAGTATTTTAAAATCCAACTCATTCCCTTGGTTGTTTAGAACGTATCTCTATAAGTTTCTGTCTACCTGTACTCATGAGAATCATCTGTAAAATTGAACTATAGGCTCACTTTTCCTATGGAACAATAGGAATGCCATTTTCCACTTGGGTTGCCTTCTAGGTAAAGTCTTGCCACACGCTCTCAGCCTCTCTTACTGTATCCGCTTTTTCCTGTTCACATGTCTAAGAATCATTATGCAAAGAGTTAAAAAATGTGCATTTCAGCATGTTGGTCTCCACTGTCTCTTTTGAGCAATGTGACCAGCTTCACTTTGAGGGACTTTGAGGTACATCTTCATGTACCATGTGCATCTGATGCAGGCAGTCAGAGGTTACCATAAAAATGGAAGACAACCTCCTATTCATTGAGTTTTAGCCTCTTTGTAAGATGGTCTTATGATCCATGAGGATAAACTCAGAACCTTAGAAGACTTAAAATTTCATTCCTTTTCTATTCTGATCATTTTGCTGTTTCGTTTGGAAAATTTTCCTTCCTAATGGGTCATTCTCTGGACAATGTAAAGTAGTGTTTCCCTGTAGACTATTAAATCAAACCCTGAGAGGATATGCCTGCACACAGTACATTCTCCAAAGAAGTGAAGTCCTGTTTGACCTGGACTTTGTCAGATCATGTTGATAGAGTATGTGTGCGTGTGTGCGTGTGTGTGTGTGTGTGTGTGTCTGTCTGTCTGTCTGTGTGCTGATGCAACTGTCTTTTAACAGCTACATTTACTATGAAGACAGTTCAGAAGCCGGTGTCCTTGGAGCTCCTGGGCTTAGCTGAGTGCATAATGGCAGACTTCCTAAAGAAAAGAAAAATCCAGAAGTTATAAAGTAGTGGAAAATACCCATCACAAACCCAAACAAATTGGGCCAGATTTCACTAACTTCAACCTTAATTCTGCATGATTCTGTAGAAGCTAATATAAACTGTTTCCTCTTGTATGCAGAGAGACAATTGTTGTTGTTTTTTTTTCCATTGGGTCATATACAGACTGTAATAAATGGCGTACAGGAGTTCCAAGGCCACATACCGAAGAGAATTTTTAATCTAGTTGGTACACTTATGCTCTTGTCAAAGGCTTCGCCAAGATAAAGCCTGTGCTGTATGAAGAACTCCAATGCCCCGTCAGTTCTTAGCATTAGTTGGGCTCTTTGCCCGTAATCCACTGATCCTAAATAGTTGATTATTTTCTGTGAACATCTCACCATGGATAACAATTCTGCAGTGTGTGTGTGATCCACCACAATGTTCCTACAAAAATGGTAAATAATTATAAAGAGGCTTGAGCAGATGTTACGAGAGCCAATAACCATTTTTTTTCTGAAAACTGTTTTGGAACCATATTGCCCACAGAGGCATGCTGGAAAATTTGAGGGGAAATTGTCAGTCTTTCATTGTATACTTTTTCCTGTTCTCAAAAGTCAACCAATTTCTTAATTTGGAAGCAGTTTAATATCTCATGTGGGTTAGATTAGGCATTCTATTTTCCTTGAACATAATTTGGTTTGTAATGCCCTGTCCTCCACAAATACAAGCCACAGGCTGCATGCTTTTAAATGGCTTGATGTCTTTGAGATCTAATTCTGGTATATTTGTATCTCAAATAATTCGCCAACTCAATATTTTGGCTGAGCAATCCAAATCAAATTGTGGTCCAAGTAGCAGGCACTTACATTGGATGTACAGAGATTTGACAAGCAATTAGCAATGAATGTTTAAATGTCTGCATTACTGTTACATGAGAGATGCAGATGGCATTGGGGGTGGGGTGGCAAGCAGGGGGCAGTCTGGGGCGTTGTTTCTATGGCTTGGTCACCTGATGCTAGAAGACTTTCCCTGGGCCATCCTGCCACCTCAGCACTTCTGTATGGATAAAAATAAAGCAGGCTTTCCAAATGTACAACAGGTTGCTTGTGTGAAATCCCTCTGCTCACTTTGTGATTTGGGAAGGTTGTCTCCCAGGATCCCAGCGCATCTCCTTTAGGCACACCTAACCCAAACGCCAAGACTTGTCAGAGGTTTGTAAGAACCAAAGTTCCTTCAGAAATCTTGCTGTTCATTTTCCTTAATTACCTCACCATGTTGTACCTGCAAAAATGAATGATCCACCATCCCAAACCTCCCAGAAGCTAATTTATTATATTTGGACCAAGGTGTGTGGGGGGGGAGATGTCTTTGAATAATTATGATTTCAGGATTCTCATTTTAAATTTCTTTTTTAAGGAAAAAACAACACTGGAAAGTCTGACTCAGCAGCTGGCAGTGAAACAAAACGAAGAAGGAAAATTTAGCCATGCAATGATGGATTTCAATATGAGCGGAGATTCTGATGGTTTGTGAAACTCATTTATGCATATTCCAGTATGGTGTGGGAGTGTGTCTAAGGGCTGATTAAGACTGCAGAAAGGCAGACAGGGTCCGCACTGCCTACCCGATCACCGCGGTGGAAGGCCACCTACACTGCGCAATGCCATCCTTCACCACCCTCATCTCATTTAAGCCCTAACGCAGCATGACCTGTAAGTGCGACTGGAGATATGGCAGGGACCCTGGGGCCTGGGGATCCTTTCTTCAGGCACAGAGCACTGTGAGGGCCAGAGGCAGGACCGAGATCAGAAAGCAAACGTCATTGACCAGCAGCCATGTTTTCTCTAGCTCCCTTGTTTCCTGTGCACCCAACATTGCAGAACTCTGTGTCCACCAAGTCATTTATCAGTTTGTGTCAGTTAAACCCCAAGAGAACATTTCCTGGACATTTTCTTGAACTTTGGAGCCCTTCCCTCCTATACTTTCTATGCACAGACAAATGCACATTCCCTGACCCAACACCCAGACTCCATCTACCTAGCACCACAGCTAGAAATCTACACCTTCCCTCCTATGCCTTGAGTTTGTGCCACTCTGAACATTGCCACCAGCCAAGGTCACATCCGAGATGTCTTTGAATAATTATGATTTCAGGATTCTCATTTTAAATTTCTTTTTTAAGGAAAAAACAACACTGGAAAGTCTGACTCAGCAGCTGGCAGTGAAACAAAACGAAGAAGGAAAATTTAGCCATGCAATGATGGATTTCAATATGAGCGGAGATTCTGATGGTTTGTGAAACTCATTTATGCATATTCCAGTATGGTGTGGGAGTGTGTCTAAGGGCTGATTAAGACTGCAGAAAGGCAGACAGGGTCCGCACTGCCTACCCGATCACCGCGGTGGAAGGCCACCTACACTGCGCAATGCCATCCTTCACCACCCTCATCTCATTTAAGCCCTAACGCAGCATGACCTGTAAGTGCGACTGGAGATATGGCAGGGACCCTGGGGCCTGGGGATCCTTTCTTCAGGCACAGAGCACTGTGAGGGCCAGAGGCAGGACCGAGATCAGAAAGCAAACGTCATTGACCAGCAGCCATGTTTTCTCTAGCTCCCTTGTTTCCTGTGCACCCAACATTGCAGAACTCTGTGTCCACCAAGTCATTTATCAGTTTGTGTCAGTTAAACCCCAAGAGAACATTTCCTGGACATTTTCTTGAACTTTGGAGCCCTTCCCTCCTATACTTTCTATGCACAGACAAATGCACATTCCCTGACCCAACACCCAGACTCCATCTACCTAGCACCACAGCTAGAAATCTACACCTTCCCTCCTATGCCTTGAGTTTGTGCCACTCTGAACATTGCCACCAGCCAAGGTCACATCCAGTCCACCTGATACTCACTGCTAAGAGGGAAGGAGAAGGAAGAGGTGTTTACTTTATCCAGGAGGTCAACTGGGACTCTCCTTCTGGTGTCATGTCACATGTATGTGTTTTAAGGGGTTTTGATGGTCCAGCCCTCAACTTGGCTGAAGTTGGACAAACATTCCATCACAGGAAACCTTTGAGATACAGGCTTCAGAAGACAGTGGTCCCCATGTGTCCTCAGCACACTGTGTCTGGTCTGTACCTGGGGCCAATTCTACTTGATCATCAAACTTCTCACCAGCCCAAAGCTAGCCAAATTTGAACATATAACCATTTCAAACTAAACTTTTCCAATTGGATATTCAGAATAAAAGAACTGTATTTTTTTCTGGTCCAATGTAGATAGCCATTTATTTTTATTTTTATTTTTTAGCTTCACCAGGCAGGATAAATTTGGCCTGTATATACACAAAGAGCCAGTTTAGAGTCGATGAGATCACACATTGTCCCTGTCCTGGCTTCTGTTGCTGAAAGGTGTAAGAACCAGAAAAGTCAGATGTATAAATGATACTTTGCTAGTTACAAACCCTTTTCAGAAGGTGTTCTTGTATATTAGCACTCCCATTTGTCAATAAAGAGACAATTGCCAGTCGTACCACATTTCATCCATTTTAAGTTGCACTAGCATGATAAAATGGACCTTCAGTAATGAGCATACCTACATCAAAGCTTGTGTCACTGTTATTTGTTACATTTAGTTGAGCTTGTATGCAAAATGGCTTCTATTCTATATCTGACCCAAGAGCATGTGATGCATGAAAGTCATGACCAGTGCGACCCAGAGAGGCACTGTTCTGGCTTGCCGGCTTGCTGGCTGCTGCAGAGGGAAATCAGTTGTTTCCTCTTTCTTCAAATTAAGAAATAAGACTATGGAGGGTTGGAAAAGAAAAGGTGTGCTTTAACTGCTAATGCAAATGCTAGAAATCCCCAGACACTTTAAAATGCTATCATCTATTTTATACTGACAATGAATGAAAACCTAGTTCCAGAGTCCCTCGTCATCTTCTGGCTCCCCTTCTTTTCACCCCCGAAACTCAAGCATCTTGGAGCTGAACCGCTCCAGAAGGTCCCATGAGGCAGGAGTATGTGGTAGAGCTTCTTAAGGTCTACTGCGACTCACAGGGTATGTCTTGTCCTTAGAGGCTCCTGATGGCTAAACTGTAGCCATCAACTGGTTTCTTTGGATAACTTTAGATGTTAGGAGAATAGTTCACACAAATATATATTTTTTTATCTTAAATGTATGACAAAAAAAATCTTTAGAAACCATAGTCACTCATTAATTTGTTCTTTCCCTCTAGTTTTCAAATATCTTTGGGGGTTAAACTATTATTACCTATTTGCAGATTTCATGTCCATAAATTTTATATATATATATATATATGAATCAGCACATAGTTTAAAAGAAACACCAATTACATTAAAGGGAAATATTTATATTGTGTTTTAACCTCCACATTCTCTGCAGTATGTTTCTACTTATATACCCTCAGAGGCAGGAAAGGGCATGCTTACGTCATGCTTGGACAGTCTTTGAGTTACTTTACTAACCCACCCTGCCACAGGGATTAGAATTTTCTGGTTTTGTCAGATCCTTTACATTCATAACGTTTTTGCAGAACTCGCATGCCTATGGAGCTAGTCTAAATGTTCTCTTGCAAGTAAACAAACTATCCACAGTCCATTGAAAGCCAGAGAAGAAATGAGAAATGAATTAAAAATACACATTGGCTACCACAGGCTTATCAGACACTTAGAAGCAAGCATCTGCCTTCAGAACTGCAAGTACTATGATCAGAAGTACTTTTTGTTTTCAGATATTTTAATAGACTAAAAAACAGTCATCAGGGAGAGAAGCTGCCAAAGTCTTAACTCTGACATGAAATGATGTTCCCTGTTTCTAGGAAGTGCTGGAGTTTCCGAGTCAAGAATTTATAGGGAATCCAGGGGACGTGGTAGTAATGAACCCCATATAAAGCGTCCAATGAATGCCTTCATGGTGTGGGCTAAAGACGAACGGAGGAAAATCCTTCAAGCCTTTCCTGACATGCACAACTCCAACATCAGCAAGATACTGGGTAAGGAAACAGGGAGGACAGAGTGTGTGCTCTAGATGTGCCGTTCTCTTCCCTGCGGTCCCTGGAAGACACTGGATGTGGAAGCCAGGCATCCCAAGTCTTCCTCTTTTCCAAAATAACAGCCTTCACTAAGGGACTGGCTGAGGACGAAGCATCAGAGAAACATGCCAAGTTTCTAGAACTTATTTAGTTGAGGATCTCTATGTTCATTATTGTAACATTTTATCTTTAAAATGTGCAAATGTTTTTAAGTATGACAGAGGAAAAAAATTGCTTTGAAAGGAGCCACTACAGATCAGCGATGGCCACTTTTATTTATTCCTTCTGTGAACTGCATCCAGGTTATTGTGAATCTTAAGTTCTCCCTCGTCTCTCTTCTTTGAATTTTGACTTTGAAATTTGTTCAGAGTGCCTTGCACGCTACCAGGAAGGGAAGAGGGCCAAGTTTAGACGGTCAAAGCATAAAATCCAGAACCTTCGCTTTTTATGCTTTTAGTAACCTTATGCAATGAAGGTGCTTTTAGCAATACTTGGGAACTTTGAATAGTTTTCAGTTTTATTAAGAGGCTTTACTTATCACCACAGCTTCTAGCACACAAAAAAGCAAAGATTTATCCTAAAACACAGACTACAAAGCCCATAGGGACAAGAAGAATGAGCACAGATTACAGAGACATCATGTAGACTGAGTGAAGTCATGTCTCAGGTGCGGATAAAAGAAAGGGGTTTTTATTTTATGCCTTCTGTTGACCTCCTCCTCTCCCCTCCCCCTCCCCCTCCTCCCTTTCTCCTCCTCTTCCTCTTCCTCCTCCTCCTGTTCCTCCTCCTCTCTCTCCTCCTCTTCATCCTCCTCCTCCTCTTCCTCCTCCCTTTCTCCTTCTCCTCCTTCTCCTCCTTCTCTTCCTTTTCCTCCTCCTCCCCCCTCCTCTTTCTTATTATCTTCATCTTCATCTTCAAGTAGCATATGGTGCACATGCACTGGAACGGTGAGGCAGAATTTGTATCATCTCTCCTCTGACAACAGGAATGGGACAGTACATTGGAAGTGCCCTGATCTATCAGAAAAAAAAAATCGGCCTTAATAACTAGGTAACAACATATGTCTAAATTATTAAATCTTCGTTAAACTCTATAATGAACATGGAATCATATGTAATTTATAGAGAGAGGTGTCTTGGGGCAGCACATTAAACGACTGATTGCTTGCAAGCACGTATTGACCCACTTACTCCTTCACACTCCCAGATTCTCAACAAAGGTCGTAGACGTCAGCCATTCACAATGTGCACTAGTTATATGACCAGAACAAACCACTTAGTCACTTCAAGTAGCATTTTAATGTTTTCTCCTACAATGATTTTGTGATTAGTAGATGGATATCCTGAAAGATGGAACAAGTGAACTTTAGTGACACACAGAGCCTGAGAACATGTACATTTGAAGACACACGTCTATACAAAGTCAAAAACCAGTACCGGTGGAGAAGAAGCACATATTTCTTGCACCTCTATTACCTCTGATCTCGTCTCCCTTTAATGACTACATTCTCTATTCCTCATGAAATTCCCTCAAATGTACAAACGCCACACCTGTTTCATTTGGAAACGCTTTCTAAAAGAAGAAACATGTTTTACATGAGCATATTTCATGTTTTAGCATGTATTCCTGAATTAGAAATCCAGAAAGGTCAAAATTTTTAAAGAGCTCAATATTAACATTGCTGAAATGATCTTCATACCAGTTCATGTGCCTGAGAAAAAATATATATAAAGCAGTTCTGAGAGGTGATGTAGGAGACTGGAGAGACAGCTCAATGCTAAGGGTTTCCGCTGGTTTTTCAGGGGACCCGGGTTCGGCTTCCAGTTCCCATATGGCAGCTCACAGCCTTCTGTAACTCCTGTCCCAGGGATTCCAACTCCCTCTTCTGACCTCCCTGGTTACCCATACTCACATGTCCATACCTAGCCATGCCCGCACACAGACATACACACACATATACATATAATTAAATCAAATCTTTACAAATTAAAAAAAGTAATGTGGACATAATTCTTTATGAAATATAGCAGAGTTTCCATATAGTAGAGAGAAGACTAAGAGAATCCATTTCTGACTAGAAGGATAGAACGTGAGAATTGTCATGTGATTTCTGCCATCACAGGCTGCATGCTATATGGCTGAACCGTAATGCAGTCTTTATGATAAAACTGTGTTAATTAAAGATATAACATTTGTAGTCAGCCAAATATTAGACACTGAAGTGTTTTGGACCTCAATAGTTGCCTTTAAATAAATAAATGTTCTTCAAATATCCACAAGATCATTCTAAATGGCCTATTTCATCTAAAAGTACAAAGAAAGCTTGATGTTTTTTTCTCTTTACTGATTGTTTTGGATAACAGCCTCCGACAGCATGCTGCTAATTCATTCTGCTTAAAACAGGCGCTTGAGCTGCGTTGACATTTTACGTAGTCTCTGGGGATCCTAGTTGACATTTTAAAGGGCTTCTAAGCATTTTATAATACCCTAAAATCTGGTTTTAATAAGCCATTCTGCTGAAATTGTTAACATAAGGAATCACCTTTTACTGTTTGGCGCGAGATCAGGGAATGGGGGACATCTTTTTCTGATTAGATACACAGTAGTTGGAGTAAAATGTGCAAATTCATTACATGCCCCACGGAGATGGCTATGTTGCTCTCCTCTGCAGAGTTTCCAGACTGAGAAGTGAAAAGGAAAAGAAAAAGAATAGAAGGCTTTTTTCATTTTCTTACTTTGAGAATCAAATATTGTTATTGAGTTTTTTATCAGGAAGAATACCTAACTGTATGGTCTTTGTAAAAAGCCCACCTTTTGTAACCAGTAAGCTGCTTCCTCTTTATACATGGGTCAGGGTAAGCAGCCAGGCACATCCAGACCAAAGCCGGTTACCTCAGGATGTAAAGGCTTTTTTCATTAGGGATGCATCACCTTTTAAAACTTAGAGAAAATTTAGGGAAGCGTCTTTAGCAATTCCTAGTCTAACTGAGCACAGTGATATCTATGTTCCATCTTGACATAAAGATAGTTGGTGGGGTTTTCCTAAAGTCAGTTGTCACTGGTCCATGTTTTCAGTCTGTTTCTGCTTTTCTGACAATTATTTGCGGTTAACTTTTTTATGCCCTGATTTGAGGCTCAAATGCTGGTCTACGTCCTGGCAAGAAATCCACAGAGAACAATCTCTCCTCTTCACTAGTGTTCTCGGCTTTTCTGTGTGTCCTCCACGAGCAGCGTGATAATATTCGAGGCCTTCTAGAGTAGATGAGGCAGAGTTTGAAACTGAACTCAGAAATAATATGGCCTGACCAACTGACTTGGGGCTGGACAATGCTGTTTAAGTGGGAGTTTCAGAAAGAAAAAGAAAAAGCAGCTCTACTGTTTGAACTGTACCATGAGTTTCTGTTTGAAATTAAAAAACAAACAAACTGTAATAGCTTCTAGATTGGGGAGAAAACACCTGTTTATAAAACCTTGTAACAATTCTGCTGGCATACCCACAGATGTAATATCTGTTACATAGCATGAAGTATGTAAGCAAAGAGGTGCTTCCCCTTTCAGTCCATGCACCAATGTGTCTGTCAATATAGAGAGAGACTGGTTCACATTGAAGGAGCCTCCGCATCTGTAGGGAAGAACGCACAACAATGACCTATTTCCATTTGAGTTATGGAATTAACACTGGGTAGGGAACCAGTTGTAAAGTTTCTAAGATCTTGCTTAGTTCATTCATTAAATAATTCAAGGAAACAGCACCCGGTATGCATTTTAGTAGGCTCATGAATTAGTTGATTTCTGTTACTATGATGATGTACTTGAGACTGGGTGACTGTATAAAGATATTTATTCGGGCTATAACCTAATGGCCTTCTTGCCTACAAAATGCAGGGCATTGCATGGCAGGGAAATGGGCTTGTGTTCTCTCTCCCCTCCCTCTCCTCCCTTCTCCACCTCCTCTCCATCTTCTTCCTCCTCCATCTCTTCCCTCTCCCTCCCTCCTTCTCTCTCTCTCTCTCTCTCTCTCTCTCTCTCTCTCTCTCTCCTTCTCCATCCTCTTCTCCTTCTCAACCTACCAACACAGTAACAGGGCTTCACCCTGGTAATAACATGTGCTCTTCCTCACCTCTAAGCACCATAGTCAGACTATGTTTCCATTCTCTGTAATGCCCACAGTGAGGATGAAATTCCAGTGTGAGTCTTGGGGGAGGAGGAGACCACACTACAAATGGAGCCACAGGTATCTCCTAGGTTCAAGTTTGTGGGTTTTGTGCTTTTGAATCACGTTGATCTAATTATTTTTCCAGAGAACCATACATTTGCAGTAAGATTTTTTAAGCCTATCTTTAAAGTTTAACACTATTACTACTCCTGTTACTATTCATAGACATACTGACAGAATCAAAGTACTCAACCACATCTAAACTCAGAATTAGCATAAAGTATTTTTAGTTAAGCCTCAAACTTTTTTTTTCTCAATCTAAATTAGATTTAATACAAAATTAATATGAAGAGAAGGGGAAGGAATTTGGGTCAATGCCACAAATGTAGACTGTGTCATGGGAAGAGATGCATGTGTATACTATGGAAAGGGGTTTGTTAAACTAAAGGTCTTGCTCAGTTCATATTTATTATTCTGTACCAAGGCTCTGCTAGATCATATGGAATAGGTGGATTATGCGTGTAAGAGAACATATTAAAATATGTACTTAAAAGTTAGAAAACTTTTGGGAAAACTAAGTTTGAGTCAGATCTATACATTAATAGTTGCAAGGTGCTGGTTAGCTTTGTTTATGAGAAAATTGTCTTATCTATGAAAATAGCTATAAGTGCTCTTTCTCTGTCTCATAGGACTGTGATAAAAGGAAATGAATGGTCAAAAGTTCTTTTAAAATCTTAGTGTATATATGTGTGTGTTTGTACATATGCCTGTGCATTCATACATGTGTGTCAGGGTGCTTATGTTCAGGCCAGAGGAGAGAGGTGGGCTACCCCACAGGACTCAGGATGACCTAAAGAAGGTCTTAACACGGCTTCCAGTGCTTGGCAGTTCCCCAATCCTGTTTGTTATTATAACTTTAATTACAGTTAACTATTTGGTGGAATTAATTTTTAACTCCAGTCTTTCCAATATACACATTTTAGTGTTTTAGAAAGGATAAGACTATGCATTATAGTATTTTTTTTTAATAAGAAATGTACCCTCACATGAAAATTCTCAGAAACTAGGTAAGTCTCAGATTCAAAATATATGGTAAATTAAATGTGTAGCTTTTGGGTTTGCAGCTGAAACACCCCATGGTGTGCTGTAGAAATGAAAGCAGTATCCATAAAACCCTTGAGATATTCAGTGCATAATAAGCAAGTTTGGCTAAACTGTTCCTTCAAGCCAAAAATAATATATTGCCCAGTATTCATGTGTCTGGGTGCATAATTTCTTTGCACTACCAACACCTCTGCTCTTGTGAGATCTCGCCTTTCAAGTCGGGTCTTACTAATCAGAAACATGTTTATGTATTTCTGGATTCTGTCCAACATTTTTTGGATTTTTTTTCTTGTTCTCCATGATAGCTCTCTATTTCAGGATTCTTAGAAGCACTGCCATGGAACCCTAACCCCCTTCCCTCCGCAGGCTCTCGCTGGAAAGCTATGACGAACCTGGAGAAACAGCCGTACTACGAAGAGCAGGCCCGACTCAGCAAACAGCACCTGGAGAAGTACCCAGACTACAAGTACAAGCCCAGGCCGAAGCGCACCTGCCTGGTGGACGGCAAGAAACTGCGCATAGGGGAGTACAAGGCCATCATGCGGAACCGGCGGCAGGAAATGCGGCAATACTTCAACGTCGGGTACGCACTTCCGCTCCTTGATTGGGGGGCACCAGCTTCCTGTTGCCCATCATGGAACTTGCAACATGGCTGTGTGGTTGCAAAAGAACCTGCTGTCCATTGTTGGCCGAGATCATTCTGTCTCCAAACCTTTATGTAGTCCTAAATGCATGAGAGAGAGAGAGAGGGAGAGAGAGAAGGGGGGGAGAGAAAGAGAGAGAGACAGAGTGAGAGACACAGAGAGACAGGAGGGAGGGAGGGAGGAAGAGAAGGGAGAGGAGAGAGGGGGGAGAGAGGGGAGAGAGGACAGAGGGAGAAGAGAGAGGAGACAGAGAAGGGAGACAGCGAAAGAGGAGGGAGAAAGGGGAGAGAGGAGAGAGAAAAACACTGCAAGCTCCTACCTCTCCTCTGAGCTTGGTTATTCCATTTGAAAACAGAATATCTTCAATAATAAATCTTGAAGTTTGCCGTTCCAAACTTCCAAATATTACAGGTTCTTTCCCCCACTGGTAATGGTGTCTTCCAAAGCTTCACCATGATGAATTCTACAACAAAGAGCTTAGTAGAGTTAACACAATCTCAAATTGACTTCAGAAGAAAAACACTTGTTTCTGAATATTAAGGAAATTGCTTGGCTATCCAGGCCACCTGTGTGTACGTCACACACAGTAGAGATTATATTTAGGCTACAACAAGGTCATGAACAGGGAAGGTTCTATCCTGAATTAAAAACCCTGCCCTAAGAGCGCTCTCCTGTGCCTCCCACAGACTGATGTTATACCGTTCCAGAAGCTGCTTTGCAGAATTCCCTCAAAACACGGAGGAATAAAGTTACAATTGAAACAGTAAGCGCCCTTGAAACAGTTCCCAGGAAAATGTCAGTATGCTCTACCCGAGCATCTGTCAGGCCACCATATCTGGAGTAAATAATAAACATATGAATGACTCAAGGACAGCGTGAATAGACATCTTTTAACTCCCTCCTGCTAGGATCTGCTAAAGAAAGTCTTTAAAGCCCAGTGCATAAACAAGAGAGAGTTCCTCCTTTAAAAATTACTGTCTTAGCTGGGCGTGGTGGCACACACCTTTAATCCCGGCACTCAGGAGGCAGAGGCAGGCAGATCCCTGTGAGTTCGAGGCCAGCCTGGTCTACATAGTGAGTTCCAGGACAGCTGGGGCTACAGGGAGACCATGTCTCAAAAAGAGAAAAAAAAAAAAAAAAATTATTGTCTCAAGACTCCTGCAGCAGGTCTGTGAACCTAGCCTGGGACTGTAGGGAGGGTTCACAGGCTGTGCGCCCACAAGACTAGCCCTGCCTCCTGCCTCCTGCCTCCAACAGGTCTAACCTATTTCACACGTTAGATGGATAAATGATGGTGCAACATTCTGGTGTTTTCTTGAGCAAAACGTCATATTGAAACATCTAATAGCTTAGAGATCTTTCCACGAAAACTGAATTATCTTTAGGATTAATTGTGGAAACAATATTTCTGCCTAGCATCATGAAGGTAAACTGAGCTTGGAGTTAAGCACTGGATTTTTTGCTTAATCTTTCTGTGTCTTGGTTTGTTCTAATCATCCAAAAAGATTATTTGAAGTATCAGATGGCAATTCATTTGAGTGCTTTGCAACCTGAAAAGCAGCACACGCTTTAGAATTAACATAGGCTGCGGTGTAAACATGCTAGATAACTGGGTTCCTTACGGTTGGATGCTGCTGACGGGTGTATAGTAAAACCAACCTCTGAGGTGCGCACTCACCATCTCTCCCTGGGCATTTCTCCGTGACAGGCAACAAGCACAGATCCCTATTGCCACTGCTGGTGTTGTGTACCCGGGAGCCATCGCCATGGCAGGCATGCCATCCCCTCACCTGCCCTCAGAGCACTCGAGTGTGTCCAGCAGCCCCGAACCTGGGATGCCCGTGATTCAGAGCACTTATGGCGTGAAGGGAGAGGAACCACACATCAAAGAGGAGATCCAGGCTGAGGACATCAACGGAGAGATTTATGATGAATACGACGAGGAAGAGGATGACCCCGACGTAGATTATGGGAGTGACAGTGAAAACCATATTGCAGGACAAGCCAACTGATAAGGGCCAACAGACTGTGGTGACCTGAGGACTTAAAGAAGCCCTAGCTGGTTCATCCTTACCAGTGGCCAAGCACATTAATTTTCTCATACACTGACTGTTACTTTAACTGTTAGTCTTAAATAGTTGGGACATCAGCTGACTGATAGACCTCAGCCTCATGAGGCTCGGGAAGGAAAAAAATTCAAGCAAACAACATCAACAAGAGATTTAAATAAGCTATGGGTAAAATAATGCCAGTAACTCAGTTGCTACATGCCAGCACTGAGGTCTTACCTGTCAACTTTTTTTTTTTTTTAATAAACTTTATGGCTGTTTGTTCTACAATGTTCTAGTTCTCTTCTCTCCATCCTCTCTCCATTTCTATGCTTTAAAGATGAAAATCAGTGCTTGGAGGGTTAAGAGGAAAAAAAAAGCCTGTTTCTTTTTTTAACCTTCCTTGCTACATACCACAAAATAAGCAATTATTTCCCTTGGAGACCTTTCTCTGACTATTGCACACCACCCTACATCTTTGAACAAGTGCCAAATTTGTACTGAAGCGTTGACCAAGTTCATATTTTTTTCTTTCCTTTTCTGTCCCTTCTTAGTTAGGACAGTGTTATATCTTAGACAATCCCTTGAAGGACCTGATTTACCAGCAGCTGGTGAGATTGACCTTTTTTATTTTCATGGAAACTGTAGGTGCTGTTCTCAGGTGAAGAGAGAGAGAGAGAGAGAGACATAAGAAATTTAGAGAAAAAATATTTTCTGATCTTGGATTTCTGTGTGTGTGTATGTGTGTGATTGTGGATAATGTTGGAGCATTGTGAGTCAAACCCGCATCTGGGGATGAAATCCCACATCCTCTTAAGTGACTGGTCTACAAGCAATCTTGACCATGATTTTGCACTTGAAATGACAGCCGTAACTAAGCATAGGGCTCAGAAATTTTATTTTTAAATTTCTAGTGTGATTATTATTGGGTGGATCTGGCGGCCCTGTAGAATAGAGACGTGCATGTAAGACGTGGAAGCTAGCAGCAAACACTCCCAGATGTCCATTCTTCCTAGACAATTGGTTCTACTAACATTTGCTACTTAGTGATTTTTGTTGTTGTTGTTTTTGTTTGTTTTCCTGTTGGAACTTCAAGCAAAACAATCACTGTTTTGACTGAATATATTTGGCCATTTTTCAGAAATATATAATTAGCTTATTTCTCCAACATTCTATCCTTTCTTGATCAGGAAATGGAGCTGGTGATTTCGTACCGACTTTTTTTCCCCCCATTTCTCCATGCCATGAGGTCAGAGACCTTGTGTGTTTCACAGGTGTGGGTCATGTGTATTTCTTGTCTGAAGAACCAAGGTTTTGTCAAAAGTGAGTGCAGCTGACCAGAGTGGAGCCCGGCTGAACACAGCAGCCCTGGCCCCCTTCCTCTGCTGAAAGGTGAATCGGTTCTTCATGCAGCCTCTAGTGCCAACAGAGCTCTTGCTCAGAGCAGCAGCTGATGGTGATGAGATGGCTTCTGCC